TTTCGACAAGAAATAGAAACAATGACTCGTACATTTAATAAATCGACGACAAAATTGAGTGAATGCATAGATACAAGTGATACTTTTGTTGGATCATTTCCAAAAGGTATGTTTTCATTCCGTCAATTCAGTATTGTAAATATTCCAATTCATGCAGTTTGTTAAGTGAATATTTAGTTAAAATGATCCTCTTTTCCGTGGGAACAGCCGTGGCAATCGCTTAGGCATTTTATCCGTCAACTTGAATTTACGAGAAAAGTAAATAGATTATGTAGAACAAAAAGTCCATATCTTAATCGAAACTGATCTTTCTGAATATTTCATCACTATACTTGTATCCATGCATTAATATTTTTAGTAACTTGTGTCTGGCCTTTTGTTCTAACATCATCAACAACCTGTGTCAATACTTTAATCGATCGAAACCATTGTGGTATGGTGGGTCATAAATGTAATACTAGTGACAAAGGTTGTTCTAATGGTGTATGTCTCAAAACGTCTGCTTCTCAACTAAATCAGCCGAAAATCATTTGGCAAGGAAATCTTAATGAAACAGAAGATTTTGAATATTTTTCTGTCACTCTACCGGTGAATATAACTGTATACAACAAGACAACAAATAATGTTTCCGTGACAGCAAATGGAGTAAGTCTCTTGCCTTAGACCCTGTTTAAGTAACGGTTGATTCTATATACAGACTCTGTTCCTTGTTATTTGTCAATAATATATGCTCAAATAGTTCTATGTTGGTCAGATAATGACTAGACTTATAAAAAAGGATTTAACGTTCATACGAATGATTGAAAGTAGTTCGTATGGTGATGTCTTAAGTTCTCCGCTTCCCGCCCCCTCAGAAATGACTTTCCGCTTTTGACGATCTTTTCAAGCTGAAATTTTCCGAGATGCCTGATCTTGTAAAAATACACTTTCGGTAAAAATTTCAGTTCGATCGGTCCTACTAGACAGGACTTCCAGCTGATTCACGAGTCATTTTTGGCCCTCATGAAAATCGGAATAACTCCGTCATAACAAGAAATAGAGAGCTCAGGCTAGTTTTAAATTAAAATACGTGTCAATATGCAACTTTTATCCGTACAGAATTTCAATATTCCGTTCTATTGATTTTTTATGAGCACTTTAGTGCGAGAGTCTTAAAATTAGCATAACAAATGATAGTCCAACGACATTAAATTCCACTTTTGAAGTAGCAATGGGGTTTTTCTAAAACTAAAATACTCTAAAAAACGACGAAAATTTCTCGGAAAATATGGTAGGGGAGTTGAAGTCTGATCTGACAAGTCTTTGAAAAATTGATCATTTTCCAAAAACCTATATATATTCTGAGAAGGGAAGCTTCGCTCTATCTTCCTATGGTAAAAACTCAATTTTGAAATTGTTTCGAAAAAATCAATTTTCTGATAGGGGCGGCTTAATTTTCAATTAAGAATCGTACTATAAGTTTTAAAAACTGTTAAGATAAAAGAATGCATAACAATTATTGCTTAATTACATTAATATAACAAATTATGTGATTAGTCATAACAATGTATTTTAGACATAAAATAAGATGTTGTTGATAATTTAACGTACATAAAATTATAATATTGATGATCCGAACTGACTTTAGAAGATTTTCTAAGATTTTTCCTGCGTACATATGGCAACAGAGAATATTTCTACTAGGAGATAACAGAGCACTTCAAGTAGAAAAATAACTTTAAATACTTAGAAACAGTCCAAAGTATGTAGAAGTAACTTGAAGTACTTCAATATGTGTCTTCGTCAATCAAAGAAAGTTATTGGCTATTATTGACATTTTCATGAAAACTCATCTTATTATTAATAGGTTTTTTGTGTTGGACTATGTTCGAAGAAGTTCGAATTTCCATCTCAAAGTAAAAGTGAATTCATCTATGCATTAGCTTATGTAGCATGGAGCCCCTTATATAAGAATAATGAAAGATCTGCAAAAATTTCTTATAATATTTATGGTAATACTCCAAGTCGAACTGTTGCCTTTGAATTCAATGAAACTATTTATGAAAAACAAGACAAAAAACAATATCTTCACTTTCAAGTGTTATTCTTCGAAGCTCAACCTAATATTATTCAGTTCATCTATCTAGATGTGTCTAGTAGTGGCAAATCTGGTCCAATTGGTGTACTAAGTAAAAATGAATATCAATGAGTGAATTCGTTTTTTTAAAATACTATTAATTTATTATTTAGGTATGGATGAACGACCAATGCTTCGGTATTCTCCTGAACAACCCTTTTTTATGCTGCAAGATGTGTCTATCACATTCGATACCAATAATAATACATACACTGCCGTCCACTTTTGTGGATCAAAAACATGTACAATGAATGAAGCATGTATACAAGAGATGTGTGTCGAACGAGGTAATTTGAGTTTCGTTGCTCGATGGTCTCGTCGAAATGGTCGAGGTCATCTTATTATTCGAACACCACTCAATAATACTATTTATTATGGTAAACCTCGCACCAATTCTTCTTCTGATGAAGGTCGACATGCATTAGTGGATGATGGTAATCAGGTTGACCATATTTATTGGCCATTGAATAGCATACCACCAATAGGAACTTATAAGGTTTGCTTTAGTACTGGTAGTCTGTTGAATAGTACTGATCAATCATCAATTACAGTGACAATAGAAATACGACACATTGGACAACCAATTGAAACAATGATTCATACTTTTAACAAATCTACAACGGCTTTGAATGAATGTTTAGAAAGAAGTGATACATTTATCGGATTATATTCAACAGGTATGTTTTCTCTGAATGTAAAATTTGTTACAAATGAATACATTAATATAGAAGTTTGAGGGTTTTGAATATAGGTGTTGATGATGTGAGAATGAAAATATCCATACCCACTCTTCTGGACATTCAATTTACTTGATTTGTATACAAAAACTTATATTTCTAGTGATTTGTGAGTGGCCCTACGAGCGATCATCACCTGCAACTTGTGTCAACGTCTTAATTGATCGAAACAATTGTGGTAAAATTGGTAAAACATGTGACGCTAGTTATAGAAGCTGTTCGCGTGGTAAATGTAATATGGCACCAGTCGTTCAGCTAAACAAACCAATAATTCTTGTTCAAGGAGCCATCAATAAAGTGCTATTTATTCCTACAATCTCTGTTTCTTTACCGTTCAACATTACACTATACAACAAGTCGACAACTAACGTTAAACTATCAAAGAAAGGGGTGGGTGGCCATTGATAAGAAGTATTTTAAAGAATATTTTTCTTTCTTTCGATAAAGTTTGATGAATCGCAATGAAATTTTAGTGCAAGTAAAAACTTAAAAGAAATATACTCTTTGACATAAGTTATTGATCACCTGTCAAGAATGTGTTTTCAAGAAAAAGACTTGAATTCAAGTATTGTCTAATGTTTCAATTGAATTATGAATTGAATAGAATAAATACAATCCGCCTTTGTTAAAAGAGATAAAGACGAAATTGTATGTATTGATGAATAAAAGCTCACTAGCAATATTGCAAAAGAAACACTAAAAATAGTGGAAACTTTTTCCATTTAAGTTTCTCACGCTTATATTAGTATTAAAATTCACATGATATGTGACCTTCTCTTCAATAGATTTTATGTTTCGACAAATGTACGGGTTATGAACCTATGGAAGCTCTACCATCTTATCATTTCAATAGCCCAACAGCTCTTCCATACTGGGACGAGTTAGTCATCAGTGACGGAACATCTGAAGGAATCTATTATTTTATTAACGGTAATACGTCTAATCGAACGGTTATTTTTGAATACTATTTGACACATGATACACAACCAAACGAATACTGCCATTTTCAAGTCTTATTCTTTGAAGCTAAACCAAATATTGTTCAATATATCTATCTCGATGTAACTAATGGTGGAAAAACAGCTACGGTTGGTATACAAGGTAAATGGGTAGATAAATAAGTGAGTTCTTCTTCAAGATCATTGATTTATTATGTAGGTTCTAGCAGTGGCCCATTTATGCAATATTCTTTTCAACAACCATTTTCGATTCTACCAAACATGTCTATTACATTTGATACCAACAATAATACATACACTGCAGTTTTCTTATGTGGTTCAAAAACATGTACAATGGATGAAGTTTGTATACAAGATATGTGTGTTAAACGAGGTAGTTTGAGTTTCGTTGCTCGATGGTCTCGTCGTAAAGGTCGAGGTCATCTTATTATTCGAACACCGCTTAATAATACTATCTATTATGGTAAACCTCATACCAATTCATCTATTTATGAAGGTCGACATCAACGAGTTGGTGATGGTAGTCAAGTAGATCGTATTTATTGGCCATTGAAGAGCATAGCACCGAAAGGATCTTACAAGATTTGTTTTAGTACTGGTAGTTTATTAAATGGTACTGATAAATCACCAGTGACAGTAACAATTGAGATACAACGCTTTGGACTAACGATGAAAACCTTGACTCATACTTTTAACAGGTCAACAAGGAATTTAGATGAATGTATAAATACAAGTGATGCATTTGTTGGTTTTAGTGAGATAAGTGAGTTTTGCTAATGTTCAATAGTTTAAAAAGTTTAATTCATAAATAACTTAACTTCATTCTAGGATGGTCAATGATTGATACGATGAAAACTACTCGAATAAAACATACAGCGTCCAGACTATTAAATGGCAAAGTATTAGTGGTTGGTGGAACTAAACCATATAATCTATTTAATACTGTTGAGTTATACGATCCATTGCCAGGAAAATGGACAAGAGCTGCTTATATGAGTACTCCTCGAAGTTATCATACAGCATCTGTTTTATTAGATGGAAAAGTATTAGTAGTTGGTGGAAAAAGCCATATTGCGCTGAATACTGCTGAATTATACGATCCATTGTCAGGAAAATGGACAAATGTTGGTAGTATGAGTACTTTTCGAACGCATCATACAGCATCTGTATTATTAGATGGCAAAGTATTGGTGGTTGGTGGAGATGACGGAGATGATATACTGAATACTGCTGAGTTATTCGATCCAGTATCAAAAGAATGGTCTAATGTTGGTAATATGACCGATGCTCGAAAGGACCATACTGCATCTGTATTATCAGATAGAAAAATATTAATAGTTGGTGGTTCCTATAATTATTTTTCTAAAAATACTGCTGAATTATATGATCCATTGTCAGGAAAATGGACAAATGTTGCTAATATGACAACTGCTCGAAAATCTCATACAGCATCTGTATTATTAGATGGAAAAGTATTGGTAGTTGGTGGATATGATGGAGATCATGTATTGAACACTGCTGAGTTATACGATCCATTATCAAGAAAGTGGACAAATGTTGGTAATATGATCGGTGCTCGAAAGGGTCATACTGCATCTTTATTACCAGATGGAAAAGTATTAGTGATCGGTGGAGATACTGAAAGTTCTACACTGAATACTGCTGAGTTGTATGATCCATCAACAAGAAGTTGGATACTTACTGAAAGCATGACTTATCCACGCGAGTCGCATGTCTCAGTAGAATTATTAGATGGAAAAGTATTAGTCACTGGTGGTTTATATTATTATAATAGACCTTTGGATAATGGTGAATTGTACGATCCATAAAGAGAAATTTCGATAATATTTCTTATAGCTAGATTTTTACCTTTTTATATGTATTGTAGTATCTTATTTTTACTTCATACTTTAATAAATTATTACTCCCACCTATTTTTTTTCTTTCAAAAACCAAATGTCGATTAGATCTTGAGGGTGTGGGTGTGGGTGTCTTCTCTCACGTTCATATCCACACCCGCAACCACACCCACACCCACACCCCGTCTATATATAAAGTAAATCACCAATTATCGTTACAAATTTGCAATTACTTGCCTACGCAGAAAATAGAGAAATTATGTCGTATAGTTGCTGAATTGTGACAACAAAAAAAAAAGATAAAGATTTCATGTAGAAGATTGGATATGAATGTGAAAAAGAAGAAGATCATGAGAGACACTGAGGCCATACCCATAGTACTTACTTTCTCATATTGCTCATAGTTTATTATTTGTCATAACGAATAAGACTTACATTAAAAAACTATTTATTATCTGACACTGAAAAATAAATCAAATAAGGCGATAATCTGTCAACAATATCCATTATGATCGTGCATAATAGGGAACAAGCCGATTTATTCTTCAAGGTTCACTTTAGATTGTCTATTGATTCTTTTTATGAATATTTGATCAAAAAAAAAATATAATGTAGAATCGCAGTACAGAAAAAAAAGAGTAGATCTCACAGACCAAATTAAAATTATTTTTAAGAAATTTAAAAAGAAGAAGTGAAGTTCTTAGAAGAAAAAACAAAACTTATGTTTTCAATAGACTTTCAAGATATGTTTAGACAAAAAGGTTACCTCATTAGCATAAACCTTGAAATTTTATGTATTATTCTGATTTTTTAATTCATCAAAATAATACTAAATAATATTCTAGCCACCACCTTCATTAGCGAAATTCAGATGGAAAAAATTCTTACGATCGAAATTTCTTCTTACCTATATTTGCGTCTTTTTGCAACTTCTTTTAGGCTTTATCTATTAAACAGACATGGTTTATATTTGCTTAAGTACCAGAAGAAAGAACTCACCGACAAAGATAACAATATTTAATATCATCTTTTCTTTGCCAAGGATAAATTTTATTTTCGTTCTGTGCGAACTCATATTTCAATCAGTATCAATAAAAAGACGAGATAATCTACGCAAGGGATCGATTTCAATTTCATTTTTAATGACTTTTTCTTCTTCTAGAAAGTATATTTGAAAAAAGAAACCAGTGAATGAAGAGTATGCGTGGATGTGGGTGTGAGTGCAGGTAGAAAGACTTATATCTGCCCCACCTTACATCCACCACCTGTAGCATTACAAAATTAGACGGATGGTCTTTTTTTCCAAGGATTAGAATAATTATCAATCAATTAGAAAGCAGGACAGGAGTACAAATTCTAGTTCATAAAGTACAGCATTCGAATTTCGCTCCATTTGCCGCTGTATCATCTCCCTCGTTTTGTGTATCTTCTAATTTTAGTGAAAAACCACAGATAGCTGTTGATGGAGGACAATATTTCATTGGTTTCCAGTCACCCCATGGATCACCATTCGATGCGAAAATATTACGTGATTGAGAACATGCAAATTGAGAGTCATTTGCAGCTGTATCATCACCTGATTCTTGAGGCGATTCAATTTTGAATGAAACACCTTTCAAAAAGTTATTGCTTCCAGGACAACGAACGACATTACTCCAATCACCCCAAAAACCGCTGTGTGGTTTAATTGAATTAACAGAAGTTCCATCTTTTTTTGCACACAATAATTCTAATGCATTCAAAGCAGTATCATCACAATTATCACATGGTTTCTCGACACGTTGTCGAAAACCTATTGCCCACGTATTTGCATTACAATAAACCGTATTAGTAAATTCACCCCAAGGACCTGATTCAGGTTCAATCGTTCGAACCACATCATATCGTTTTCCTAAAATCAACATTAGAACAGAACTTGTTT